CTCCTCACCCCTCCTCCCCTTTCCTCCTCCTCTACTTTCCTTGCCCTCCTCCCCCTCCTCCTCCTCCTCCTTTCTCCTGCTCCTCCTCCTCCTCCTCCTCCTCCTCCTCCTCCTCCTCCTCCTCCTCCTCCCCCTCCCCCTCCTCCCCCACCGCGTCGTGCCTCGGCCCGCTCGTACTGCGCGGGCACGTCGCAGAGCACCAGCGTGATCGCGGGCTGGTTCTGCACGGGCTGGTCGGCCGCCGCCTGCAGGCACGGCTTTGCCTCGCGCCAGTCCGTCAGCAGCACCTCTCGGTCGAGGGGGGGACGGAGAGACAGAGCGAGGGAGAGGGAGTTGTAGAGAGAGAGAGAGAGGAAAGGGGGGGGGACGATCAGCGAGGAAGGACTGACGATCAAGAGGGAGGGGGTAGAGAGAGAGTCAAAAGGGGGGACGATCGGCGAGGAGGGACCCGGCGATCGTCGAGGATCGAGACTTTTGAACGCTTATGATGGGCCTGTCTTCCACCACCACCACCACCACCACCACCATAAGTTGGAGGGGGAGGCGGTCCTCCTCCTCCTCCTGCTCCTCCTCCTCCTCCTCCTCCTCCTCCTCTTCCTCCTCCTCCTCCTCCTCCTCCTCCTCCTCCTCCTCCTCCTCTTCCTCGTCCTCCTCCTCCTCGTCCTCCTCCTCCTTCCCCCCTCCAGTTTATGGTGGTGCTGGTGGCGGAAAATAGGCCCATCAGCTTCTGCCCCTCCTGAACCTCTGGGTCCTCCACATGGGGGCCTCCAGGGACGCCGCCCGAAGCCCCCAGGACCCCAGGGACCTCCGGAGACCTCGGGAGACGTCCAAGGGCGGGGGAGGCGGGAGGGGGGGCGAGGAAAAGAGGGGGGGGGAGATCGGCGGAAAAGGTTGGCGAACGGGGAAGTCGTCAAGCCAGCATCAGTTGGACGAGATCTGAAACAAGACTGATCTGGACGAACGCCGACACAGGGACGAACGCACACATAACGTGACACGCAGCATCGATACGAATGACAGCCATTCGTACCAAACGACGCTGGCTCCGACACACACGACGACAAGCCCTGGCGACCCAAGGGCCGATAGCATCACACCTGTACGTTTGCAAGATACACAGAGACGCACCCACGGCAATTACTCTTGCACGACGGACGCGCGCCCAAACTAGGGGGCGACATTCGACACAACGATGCAGACAAATAGACAGACACAGAAGCCAGGCGCCCAGTCGGCGAGTCGGCAACAGAGCGCTGACTAACTGGAAAATACTGCTAAGACTCCCCAGGGGCGATCGCTTGCACCGCTTAGAAGAGAAGAATCCCGAGGCCCTGGTTTAGCAGGGCGATAGCTTTAGCACCGAAACAACAAGCAAAAAACGGGGAGGGACATGCGGGACGAAAAGGGGAAGCGCTGAAAAGGGTTGGGACGAAAGCAGACGGAACAACTGCGCCTGAGTGCGAACGTGTCTGAGTGCGAGTGCGAGCGCATGTGAAAGCGAGTGTCAGAGCGAGTCCGAGCATGTCTGATTGTGTCTGAGTGCGAGCGAGCGCGAGCGCGTATGACTTTAACTACGGTAGGGTGCCTGAGTGGGGCCTGAATATGCGCACGGGCGCGCCTGAGTGCGAATGCGTCTGAGAGGGACAAATCTGGGCTGAGTGAGTCTGAGCGTGGATGCCTCTGACCAGGACTGAACCAGAGTAGGAGGTGGAGGAGAAAGTCACGACACTGGCGGTGCGGATGGCTGATTTGTTCACAGAGCGCTGACCTCGCGCGAAATATGAGCCCTCCTCTGTTTTCTAACTCGCACTGAGGCGGCGAGATCGCTCGAGACTGAGCTGGGCGCGCTGAGCCTGCTGCGCTGAGGGTTGATCCGCGGAGCCAGGGGTAGACTTTGCCCTCCAGCCCCCCCCCAAAGGCGCGGCTCAGAACGGCGATGCAGACCTGCGCCGGAAAAAACCTGCGCCGAGAACTGGCCGTCGAAAAAATCCCCGAAGTGGCCAAGCGCTGGAACTGAGAACCGCCCTCCACTGAGAAAGATCTCCAAGCTCTGTAAATGAAAAATCATTGGCCTCAGAGAACAAGGCCTGATCCTGCCCCTTGCTGCCCGTCGCCCCCCCCCCCCCCCTCGCACTCTGACTGATCCCCGCCCCACCCCATGGCCCTGCGCAGACAGCCCCGCAGGGCCCGAGTGGCCCCGGCGACCCTAGCGGCCTTGAGGTCAGGCGCACTTCACGCCCTGAGGGCGAAGAAGTCGATCCGCTGCTCGACCGGGGAACTGCGCGGCCACGGCTGAGACCTGCGCGGCCCGATCGCACCAACCGCCGAGGCCGCGGAGCTCCTGGCGCCACTGCGTCGCCAGCAGTCGCCCGACGGCGCGGATCGTCGGCGCGCCCGAGCCTGACTCCTGGATCGCGAAGTCGATGACGGAAGAGAGACTTGGGCCGACGCAACTGGCGCCCTCGCGCGCTGAAAGAAGTTCCGGGCGCGCTTCGCGCGCAGCTGATGGATCTGCCTGGACGCGCCCGAGGGGCCCTGGGCCCGATCCCATTCCGCAATTGCCGCCTTCATCTGCCGACTGCATTCGCATGGGCTGAATTCGGCGAACACGAGCCGCAATTCGACGAAGCTGAGCCGCTGGCTGATCCCTGACACCATCTCCGACCCGCACTGGCGGGCGCCCTGCATGGCCCGCGCCGCTTGACAGACGTCGCAGAGGATGTAGGCGCTGACCCCCGGGAGGCCGACCCGAAGGCACAGGACGCAGAGCCGCGCGCGGTCCGAGCCCCGAGTCAGGCACAGACAGAAGGCCACCGCCACGGCAGCGACGGCGAGCGAAGGGGCGAGCATCGCTGTAGGTCTGCAAAGCCTGAAGCTCACAGGTCCGCGAAGCCCGAGGCAGGAAGCTCGAGCCCGCGCCGCCGCCGCACCGCTGCGTCGCCTCCGAAGAAGACCTTTCCGAGGAGAAACCTTTCCGAAGATGGCCTTTTCGAAGTGAAATGTCTGAGGGGCGCTTCTTTCTGCGCTGTTGCTGCGCGGCGCTGCCGCGCTGCGCTGCTGCGCGCTGAGGTTGCGCCGCGGCGCCACCGCTGCGCCAGGGCCCTGCGCCCCCCATTTCAGAACCGCGCCTCCACCAGCAGCGCTCCTGCGCGAAGTTCCAGGGAGGACCTCTGGGGGGGGGCCCATTGGGGAGGGGCGCCTCGCAAGGCCGAGAGCCCGACGCGGGGTGCCACAAGGGCAACCTGAGAAGGCCCGAAAAGACTTCGACGCCGCGCTGCGGCGCTGCTGCTGCGCGCGGTTCTGCGCTTCCTTTTCAAAACCACGCATCCGGCTGCAGCGCTCCAGCGCGAAGTTCCAGAGAGGACCTCTGGATGGCCCCATGGATGAGACGCGCCCTGCAAGGCCGAGAGCCCGAGGGGTGGGGGCAGTGGGCAACCTGACAAGGCCCGAAAAAGACTTCGAGGGAATTCCAGGAAGGTCCGCCTATGGTATCGCGGGTGATGCACGATTGGGCTTTTTTCTTCATTCAAAAAACATGAGAAATAATGGCACAGAGTGTAGAAGTAGAACTGACTAGGAAAACCTAGACTGGAAGAGAATAAGAACGCCTAGAATAGAATAGTGGCCAGAGAAAAAGAGAATCGAACACAGCGGGAACAAATAAAGTAGAGCAGGACAACTACAACGAGGCAGAGGGACGAGAAAGAGGGACGAGAGAGAGAGAGAGAGGGAGAGAGAGAGAGAGAGAGAGAGAGAGAGAGAGAGAGAGAGAGAGAGAGAGAGAGGGCATCTGCACATGTGTAAACATACAAGAAAAGATAATAAATGAGAGAGAGAGAGGGGCGAGGAGGGATTAGGAGAGTTGGTCTCAAACCAAAAACCATGGAAACCGAAACTCCCAAAAAAATATCTCCCTCCTCGTTCTCTGCGATCCCCATTGCAATCCTCACTGGGAAATTGAAACTTTCGGCTGTCCCAGGGGCTGCCTGTCCCAGGGCGGGCGCCGCCCCCGCCCCGCGCCGCGGCGTCGTCTTGGCACCCGGCACCTCTGGGAAAAATCGGGGCACGAACCCCCCCGGCAAACAACTCGCCCACGAAGGGGCAGGATGGAACAGGATGGCTATAGTCGGGCCCTCGACACGATGCGCATAGGACTTGAGCAGCACGAAGAAATGGCACACTCAGTGCAGAAGTATATAACAGAGCGGGGCTGGCATGGAAGAGAGCAAGACACATTAGAATAGCATAGCGACCAAAAACGGGCATCATAGAAAAGAGCAGAATCTACTAGTAAAACAAAAAAGAACCGAAAATCACAAAACAGAAGGAAGTCAATATGAGAAGGGGCAATATGGATTAGAACGGCATAATGACCAGGAGAGAACAACACGTAATAGAAGAGAACAGAAGATACTAAAACTAAGTAGAATGCGATAAAATCAAATTAAGCAAGGGAGAGAGAATGTGAGAGGGTTATATCTAAAGAATTCTGCATACTGGACTTTCCCGGAACAAATACCCCCTCGCCCCGCGCGATTCCCATTGCGATTCGCAAGGAGAAATTGATGTTTTCGGCTGTCCGAGGGGGCCACCCATCCCAGGACATCGCCCCCGCCCCGCACCGCGACGTTATATCGGCACCCGGCGCCGCCGACGAAGAAGGTTTATATATGTATGTATACTAGAACATATATATATAATATAATATATTTTTTTTTTTTTTAAAAAAAAAAAAAAAAAAAAAAAAAAAAAAAAAAAAAAAAAAAAAAAAAAAAAAAAAAAAAAAAAAAAAAAAAAAAAAAAAAAAAAAAAACGCGCGGGCGCGGCGATCGCGAGAGTTGGGAGGGCTTGAATGGGATAGAGTCAGATGACTTTGGGATATGATAGAAAAGGACGGAACAGTTCGAATTTAATAGAACAGAATTATATTATAATTAACTAGAGTTAGAAGTGATGTGCCCTTCCCTACATAATTCTATGTTTTTCTCGTATTCTGCTCCACTCTATTGAATCATCTTTTACTAGTATGCACCCCCTGCGGGGCTAGAGCCTCGGCGAAGCCACTGCGCGGCTGAAACCCTCGAGGGCCTGACAGGAGAGGCCAGGCCGGAGCTCTTGAGCCCTCTTGAGCCAGAGCGGCCACGGAGGCGGAGGCAGGGCAGCTGTCTGGCGGGGTGAGCTGCGTGGCAAGGCAATACCTGGCCCGGTAGGTCTGGCAGTGCCTGGTAGGGTATGGCAGGCCATGCTGCCTGAGGGTGAGTTGCCTGGTAGGCTGGGCTGTCTAGTG